CCGTCCAGTCTACCCTGCAGCACATTGTGGAAATATGTGAAGACTGCAACAGGGTGGCACAAGCGAGGGGTATGGGGTTCAGTCCGATCAAAACTAAGTGGCTGGGCTTTGGAGATGTCAGCAGGGACGCATTGCAGTTGGATTGGAACGATATAGAGCTATGGGAAGATTTAAGAATCCGTGGCTATTGGTTCAACCACTTTGGAAACATGTCTGCGCACGTGGGATACTGGCTGAATAGGGGGTTGGGTGTTAGGAGGAGGATATCTGCACTGGGGAGGAGGTTTGGTTCGGTTGGCGGGTTAGGGGCATGGGAGACGTATTGGCCTTTCCAGTGCGCATATTTGCCGACGGTCTATTATGGCCTTGAGTTCATAACAAACTTTGGGTCGTATGTGAAGCGAATTCAGGTGCATGTTAATGACTGTTGGAGGAGTCGTTTCCGCTGTCCGATCAAGGTGGCCAACAATATTTTCATGGCTGCACTTGGTACACTGCCAGTTACCCTACAAGGATGGTATCCACAGCGTCGATACTATAGCCGCATGATCAATTACAAGTACTGTGCAGACCATCCATGGTTTGGCTCGGTCCGTGATCACTGGGCTGACCCAGATATGGTTCCATATTGTACGCTGTCAGACAAGAGGTTACTACGCCCATGTATCACCTTTCCCACTGCAGTTAAGGAGGGAGCCGCTGGCAGACATCACCAGTTTCTTGAGGACTTGTCGACAAGCGAAACGCTCATCATATATACTGCTGGGTCTAAGACTTCACTTGGGTGTGGAATGGCTTGGGTGGTCTGCGAAGGTGGCATGTACAAAGAAGCTCGTGGACGCGCTGTGCCTCAGGGTTGGTCTATCGTTGAGTGCGAACTGCTAGCGATTGTGTGTGCGCTGCGCGAGGTATCAGTGTATCATAGTGGTACCGTTGACCGGTTTACGGATTGTGCGAGCGCTATATCCCTCATTCGTGATATGTCACCAGAGGGTGAATCTGCGGGTATATGGGAAGCGTTATGCACACTTCTCAACTGATTCAAGCAAGTGAACATCCGATGTGTTCCCAGGCATGCTGGTATACATGGCAATGAGCTGGTGGATAAGATGGCTAAAGCGGCGGTATACCTTAGGCCACAACCTTGATACTGGCAAGACTTGTGCTTTGGCATAGGATACTCCATGATCGCAAAGGACAAAAGGAAGCGAGAATGGCTGCGGTGGCACAAGGATGAAGGACACAGCTATTACGAGCGGAAGCCACAGCCACCCTGACACTTGCGTGGGCTGACCCGGATGGACGCGTTTGTGCTGTTACAGATTCCATCGGGCACCTGCATTGTTGGTCATGATGACTGTATTTGGAAGGATGCACCTCGACATTGGACCGTGTGTTCTCGTTATAACACTCTACGGCCGGACAAGCTATATGATGATCGACCGGTAGCAGCCTGGAAGACATGGTGGACATGGCATGACTACCTCGTGCTTGGTATACCCTCACATCTTTCCATTATACATGGCGAAAGGATATTTGCCCGTAACCACTTTGACCATACCCTGTATGTGAAGCGGGGGGGCACCCTGACAGTCATAACGGATGACTCGTATGACGACCACCCGATCAGGCATAGGGGTAGAATAAGCCATCACGTGTTCGCTTTGTTTCGAAGTCCGGACATATGTGCGTGTTGTGGCCGTTTATTTACGTCTAAGAAGATGTTCCTGAGGCACATCGCGGATCACCCGGAGTGTGCTGATGACTGGGCTGGGGTTTACTGGGAGCAGATGGTTGGCATGTGGCATGAACTTCATTATGCCACGAGGAACAGCTTGGTCATTTTTTGGACCACGAAGATTGCTGTTTTTGGTGTATGTTGCCTAGCTGTGCCGCTGTGTTTATGACCGGGAGAGCGATGATATGTCATGTGAGGGGACGGAATGGATGCCGGGATAAATTGTTTGGTTTGTTTTGGGCATGGGCGTGTGATAATTTGGATGTGTTGGAGGGCGATATTGGGAGGAGGGGCGCGAGGCATGAAGACGCATTAATCCGGGATCCCGCTAGTTGGGATGAGCGCCCGTGAGCATGCTGGTAGTGATTTTTGGATTTATGTTTGGGTGGAGGGCTGCGAGATGAATTTGTTCATGGTTGTGTTTTGTTTATTTTTAGCTTAGTTTTGTGTTTTGCTTGTTGATGCCGGGTCGGCGATACAAGGATAAATAAATTATATTGAAGATTAATATGCACAAGGGTCAGTTCCGCAAATTTGTTCCCGACCTCCCGAATCCGATTCTTCGGAATCCACACACTTCTTTAGATTTGAAAAAGCATAATATACTGACGTGAATGTCTTGAAAACTAAAGGCCGACACCAAATCCAAAGACGCCAACCCGATGCTTGAGCACCGCATTGATAAGCTTGGTTTGTCCCCATAATCATCCTCGTCGTAAGCGGAAACCCACAGCCCAGGCACTTGATCTCGAAAAGAAAGAATACCAGGAGCTAATGAAACAATCAGTTCTAAATATTAGGGTCGGAGAATCCGGGGATAGGCTTACTCGTGCCGCCATGGTGTTGGAACAGCGTTCTGGTCATACTCCCGTATATAGCAAGACTCGTTACACCGTCCGTACCTTCCGTATCCGTCGTAATGAGAGGTTTGCGGTACACGGAAATGTCTCCGGACTCAAAGCTGAAGAAATCATCGAACGAAGGTTGAAGTTCAATGGGTACGAGCTCCGTAAGAAGAACCTCTCTGAGCCTGGTAACTTCGGTTTTGGCGTCTCCGAACACATCGATTGGGGAATCAAATACGACCCGGCTATCGTTATTTACGGAATGGACTTTTATTGCATTGTGTGAGCGATGAAGTTAATCCAGGAGCGTTGGTCTTGGAGGCGGTTAAAACATGTGTGGGCAAATACTGATAGGTGGAATTCAGGCCCCGTCCCGGTCTTCGTGCTGCCAAGGGCAGGGGTTGCCGGTCAAGCGTCCGTGCTTCGCATCGTATCAACCAGGCGGACTTTATTAAGTGGTTTAAGGCCGAATACGACCCCATCGTAAGGTAGACGAGCTTGGCCTTGGGGGGTTAAAAAAAACACACGAAAATGGAGCGCGTTGGTGGCGAGATGTTTTCTTCTGTTAAAATTCACGAAGCCTTTTCTGGTCTGGATTACCTGGTCTGTAACCCGGTGTGAAACGGTAATGCATTAGTTTGGTTGGAAAGATGTTTGAACCAGGGTTAGTGTGCTTTAGGAAGCTAGGTGAAGGAACGCTAGATGTTTGGGGCAGGAGTTAGTTGTTGCAGGATTGTCGGAGTGATGCTGGATGAGCAAGGAGCTGGAGAGCACTAGGGCGTTAGTGTTCAGTCTACTTGAATGGTGCTACGGTTTGTGTAGCACTAGGTTACTGCGAAACGTTTGGAAGTAACAAGAGTGTTTTGGAATTGTCTGATGCTACAAGGAGAAGGTTTCCGAAGAACTTTGAGGTAGCGGTTGGATACACTGTGGATTCATGACAACAGAGACAGATGGTGTGAGCTTGCAAACACAAGAACGGTTCGCTGTACGAGAAGATATTTGTATATATAGGACACCTCCGACAATGTAGAAAATATAAGGAAAAAACATTGACTCTCCCTCGAACATAGCCCATTTTATTATCTTCTACTGTTTTATTTTACAACCTGTACTTCGGAACGTTTCAAAGGATGATGTCCGGGGTATTCTCAGCCATCAAACAGGAAAAATTACCCATCCCATAAACAGTATCGTACTACGAACCACTTTGATACTGTGGGATTTACCAATGGTGTGCGCGGTAGATCTACCACGGACTTGCTACCACAATCCGCCCTATTATCTTTCAACATCAATTTACTTTCCACCTACTGCAAAGCAGCTGGGCTTTGACCACTCTAAGGAGATGGAGGGCTCGGACCCTAGGCTGAGCCACAGAATGTCAAAACATGTCTTCATAGTGACAAAACGTGAAGCAAGCATAAACACAACCACTACCTCGTATAGTACAATACCGGTACAAGGCGATCCCGGATATAACAAACGTTATCCTCACCCATCGGAATATCCCCCACAAAGCCTTCGAATAAGCCCTCACTGTGCCCACACCACCTACGGTTCTACACGCCAAACCCTTTTCAATTTAACTAGAATGAGTGATTTCTTGTAATTGCCAGTTACCGTCCACAGAGTATCTCAGTTTTCCCCCTAACGCTTGCTAATCTGATATATCCCTTTCGCGAACTGCATACTGCTACGGGAGCCGTCTCTACCGAAGCATTAACAGGCACAAAGCCAGCACTGGCGGCATTACTCAGTACCTGCCTCGCTGCTGGGAATCTATCCTTTGGCGCTATACCGGGATTCATGACTATTTGGTTGACTGGGTTCCTAATTGTATGCCAGCTGTAACGGTCCACTGCAGAAGATACATCGTGTTTTCATTCCTAGTGCCGGCTGCTTGTGAATTACAGTATAACCCTCGGGTCTCTCGAGTTGATACCAATTCTGCTATAGTTGTGGTGCAAGAGCCTTATGACGGCTTACCATCTCCTTGTTCCTGCTCCATGTGCAAAAGTTAAATTAACAAGGGTACGCGTAGTTCACGACACCCACCTCAGAATTAAGATCAACCCCATCCTTGTTCAAAAGAGGTTCTAAGTACTTGTAAAGTTGAGAGAAAACCGAAAACACCTTTATGATATCATTCTCAAGAAAAAAACCCCACTTTTGTTGTGACACTTCAAAACCGTTTCCACCATCTCGGAGAAAAATGTTCTAAAGCAAGAAGCGTACCCATCTAAAAGGTCCTCTGTAATTGCCCACGGAACATTACCCTTTTATTCTCGCTTGCTGGAAGCTGCTCCAACCAAATACTAAAAGCGCATGAACCCTGGGAAGGCATGTCTAATATCATGGACATACAGGTATCATACGGTTGTTTATCCACGTGATTTGGTGGGGTTCCTCGGTAAATGGGAACAGTAACATGCCTCCTTCCTACAACCATCCGCCCCAACCTTTCCCCCTTCCACCCCCACCATCCCAAATCCCCCCAAGTTCAACCCACAAAAATGGAAAAAATGTTTACTTCCTCCACTCAGCGGGATAACCCCACCCACCAAGAATACCAGTACCTAGACCTAGTCTATAACATTCTAACCAACGGCGAGCGCCGAAGAGACATGTGCAGTACAATATCGTACCCCTTCTACACTCACCCACGAAGAAAGCACAGCCTGACAAACCCCCACCAACTAAAGAGAACACGGGCTGGAACAATCTCCCTCTTCGCACCACAACAGCTCCGCTTTAACCTGAAAAACAACACCTTCCCCCTCCTGACTAAAAAGCACGTCTTCCACAAAGCCATCATTCACGAGCCCCTCTGGTTCGTTTCGGGCTCGACCAGCAACGCCCCGCTCTCGGCCGTGGGCGTGAAGATCTGGGAGGAAAACGGGTCGCGCGCTTACCTGGACAGCATCGGGCTCACGGAGCGCGCGGAGGGTGACCTGGGACCCGTCTACCGATTTCGGTTGCGGCACCTGGGCGCAAAGTACGTCGACTGCTTCCACCACTACCGCCGGCATTTCCACCCGCGCTACCACTTCCATCATCATCCTCAATCTCAAATCCCAGCCTCTGCGTCAGCTCAATCAAATCATCCGTCGCGAAATCCTGTGCCTTAGCAGTCCACTTCCTCACAAACCACTCAATCACCCCACCGACATTTTCCAAACCGGCACTAGTCCCCTGCGCAAGCTACATGAGCGTCTTGGTGATGGGTCTTCTGCGTGTAGTACCACCCCCTCCTCACCTCTACAGCCTCTGAGGGGAGCAACACAGTGAGTCATTCCTCTAAACACACTAGCTTCGTCATCCCATGGTGGGGTGCCGAAGCCGGTGGTCCCATTAGTAAACGCGCTCTCTTTTTGTCGACGCGGTGGAAAGTGTGAGAGTTTTTGGTGAGCGAGGCGAGCGATCTCGACTTGGCTAATGCGGTCCATCACTACGTAGGATTCGTGTCTGTAACCGCACCCTTCTAGAATAGACTCCTCTTCGGGTATGGGCTTTCTTAGAGGGGGTGGTAAGTTTTCTTACTAGTCGCCAGGGAGGTCGAGGTTCAGCAGGTCCACGTGTTCCCCATTAACACCGCAGTCTTCAACAGGTAGGAGGAGGATTTTATGCCGTTGCATGCAGTCTTTTGGCCACATTCCGTTCGCGCGGCGCAGGGCGCTGGCGTGAATGTTATACATAATCACTATGTCATCAATGGTATCCGTGGGTTTGACATGATGGACGTAGGCCAATGGGTCCCTTTCGCTCTGGGGCGCGGGGCCGCCTGTGGGGTCCGGGGAAGTAGATCTTTTGTAGGAAATATTTCGACCCCTGATGCTATTGTGTGACGAAGGCTCGCTGAGGGGGCACCCCCGAGTGGAACAAGAATGTGCATCACCACTACCACTGCCACCAGCACCTCTTGCAGAGTAAGCCACCGAGATTGGAATTCCCCCAGCCAGTCTCCCGAACTATGAGTTCTCCTTCCTCCGCTACCCGTTGCCGTCCCCCAATCCGTTAGTCGTTTCCTCCGCCGCATAGCCCCCGCCGATTTGTGCGGCTGCATTGGGGGAGGATCTGAAGTAGCACCTACTACATCTCTGCCCAGAGCTGAACTCGCCAGACCCTGTAGAGCACTCTATTGAACGCCCAATCCATTACCCAGGCTACCACCACTTCCTCCACCATTTGCTACTGCTATAGTCGCTATCATTGCGGTCGTACTCCCGTTGCTCTCCTAAGAATCCAAAACTCGAGAAGGGTCCTTTGCAGGTAACGGTTGTTGGGACCTGTTCGCGGCGGATACAACCAAAGTTGAGAGAGAGGATGAGGATAAAGTCGAGTTCGTTCTGCTGAACGTAGTCGTCGTGGAGGTAAATGCATGTATGATAAAATCCAACCATACCCCCCTTTTTGTTAATATTATTACCCAGGCGTCAAGGATGAGGTTGCGTATGTCTGACGATGGTTTGATTTGGGTCGCTAGTGGTGGGAAGGTGGGCGGGGTGCGGTGGTAGCGGCGCCGGGAGGGTTGCAAACTGGTGGCACCGGTAATGTGAGACGTTCAAAAGGTTGGTATGGATGGCTCAGTCTGGGAGGCGGGAATGGAAGGAAGGGGGAAGGGATGTATTCGCGATATGGCCACTGTCTAGCACATTTGGAGGCAGGGTTCCGAATAGTCCGACCGGTCAGGTCTTGGAGGCAGGACCAGACTTGACTAGCTCGGGTGGTCCGGTCCGGTCTTTATAAAGTGTTGCCTAGTCATGTTATATCACACAACCTAACACTCCGAAAGAAATTGATACTCGTGAATCTATTTTGACTGCCCATAATCTAAGCGAGGCACTATTTCCATTCTAACTCCCCGGAGACCCTACAGAATAACCCACGGAAACAATCGGTTTGATTAAGAAAATCTTTATTTGAAAGTAATAAACTGTGATAAAAATAGTAAAAGGCAATATAGGATGCTAATTGTGTCAATTGGCCCTGAATATCCTATTTCCCTGCGGGTCCCGCCAGACAAGTACCGGCCTAGCCAGCCCCACAATCCGGAGAATCCAGGTCGGTCTACCCCCCACCATCAGACTAGACTTGACTTCCGACCGGACTAGCGGTGCAGTCCAGTCTTCCGAGGACCATTCGGAACCTTGTTTGGAGAGGGTCGGGGTCTCTTAAGGGATAGGTAGTTTTCTTTACATTCTTTATTCGTGCGGTCGAGGACCTGGTTCTTTGAATACCGTACCGTTGTGTCGATGGCTGCAGCAATGAATGCTTTCTATTCCGGGGGTTTGTTTCGACCAACAGATCGTTTGGGTGGATTCTGGTGAACAGGTGTCACAGAGATGGCTTCGCTCATCCCCACCCACTCGACTTGGGCTTTTTGACCAGCTCATCCTCTTTTTCTCTTTTTTTTTCATGTTGTGTATCATACAACTACACCACGAAACCACCTTTGTATCTCGCCGATCTTCTTGAAGTTACCATAGAAACTCTGATACTATCAATGGTCTTGTAATCAGCCATTTCTGCCATCCCCGTGATCTCCGGCCCCTGACTCGAATCTCTCTAAGAAGGACTAGCGGTTTCCTGACATCGTATAGATCTAATTAACTTCCTTTCGCAGTTCGGTTAAGTTGCTAAGGTAAACCTATCTGGGCTGATGTCGCGATTTGCGGGGATATTCGTCAGAGGTCTGAGATGGCGGATTGCAAGAGTGTTTGGGTTACCGTGGGGACTCGTGGGATTGGCTATAGTCTCTCCGTCGTCCCTCCAGTCTGCGGATTCTGAGTCAAAATCTCCCTGCTAGGATTAGCGGTCTCCTAACACAGCATAATATTAGCGCACAGCAGGTGTTGGATCTCATTAACTGGTATTCGCAATTCGATTAACCTGTCACACTTCACACTTCCCTTCACACTTCCAAGCAGAAGGTATGGCTCTCAACTTGGCACGTTGATTGTGTTTTCAGAGATCCTTTTTCCACCCCCGCACTTTTATCTTCATACTCATCCCACTCGCCACATCACCCAGACCACCGAGGTAAGTAAAACCTTCGATGGAGGTTCGGCGAGATATGCTAAATTGTGGGCTTTATACAAGAGAGCGATTGATGAGCTTTTTACCGAGGCTGCTGTTCCATAGCCTGAAGGGACCAGAATTCTTTCCCACTTGGAAAGGCTCACCGCGGCAGAAACCGTAAGAATCGATTGACAATCAGTTTTTCACATGCTAACCAGTGTTCCCAATTGGCCCGGCCACTGCCAGGAATGGCCTGGGCCGATATAGACCGAATTCCATCAGCCTACGGAAGCTGACCTGGCCTGGCGGGCGCCTATAGACCGGACCCTTTGCATTGAAAAACTGTTGTCACGGAAAGCATGGGGTCAAATTTAGAAAAGGTGTCCAAACGCTTCGCATTTGGCCCTCATCCCCCGCAATTACCCGCACACCCCGGGAGCCCGCAAGAGGTTTGGATTTGGTTCACTCACGCGAATTTGTATAACTACCTATAATTCTTCTGTGTTTTTAACTTGTCCTTTCCACTAGAAATAAATCATTTGGAACAGGTGCAGCTACCGGACCGCGTAGTAATGCATAGAGAGAACTCGCTAGGCAGGTGAAAGCTTGAGAGAACTCAAGTCACATTGAAGAGAAGTTAAAAACAAAAGGGAAGTAAATATCTGGCTAAGCGAGCTCCAAAACGGCAGGTAGTACATATCCTATACAGCCTATAGGCAGGCCATGCCTGGCCGGGCTCAGTTACCTCGAGGCCTATAGGCTTCGGCCAAGCTAGATCCCCAGAAATTCTGGTAGGTCAGACCCGGATTTCCTTCGGCCAGGCCTACCTCGCCCCTTGGTAACACTGATGCTAACAGATACTAAAAAAGGAAGTCGCAATTCATCGCAAGACTATTAATGATAGGTTTGCAAGGATTGAAGGGTGGATAAAGATGATGCTCGGGTTTAGCGGCGGAACCATTTTATTCGCATTTGGGTCTGTGTGTTCCCTAGTGCACACTCGTTTTCCGAGTTGTTTCGCTCATATTTATATTTACACCTAGATTACAAAGTGATGGTTTATGATGTCGAGGCCAACAGCGCAATGGTTGCACGTATTGAGTATTGAACACACCAACAACAAATCAGAAGAAAAGACCCTGTTACAAATAGAGAACTTAGAGCGTTTGACAAAGCTGGGGATTGATAACTTAAACCTTTCGACAAAGTCGGAGATTGAGAACTTGGGACGTTTGATCGAACAGTTTGCCATGAAACGCTGACGAGGCGCACTATTATGCGGCGGCGATAGTAATGGAAGCTGTTTTTTTTTTTCCTCCGTTAGGGGCAATGCGGGGCGGCGTTCAATGGGTATCTCCGTTATGGGGAATTGGATTCAAATAAAAGGATTCTTCTTAAAATTGCGTTTAGGTTCTTTGGTTTTCCATTTCTATTTTATCTGTTGTGTTGTAGGGTCGTGGAAAGTTGGGGGAGCCCCAAATAGAAGGGTAACGCTGGGTTGGACCCCGGTGTAATGGGGTTTCGCGTCCTGTAACACAAACTCTCACACCCACCATCCTTGATCTGAGACAAAGGAAAACACCCTTTGAGGGAATAGCGTTCCCTCAACGAGTTATAGCTGGGGCAGGCTGAACTTGGTAGGTCTTGTTAGCTTGTATTTGTAATTTTATTCACTTACTTTGCTAAGTCTATTGTATGATATAGTCTCTTGGTATGGTGATTCCCGTTATACCCTACGAGTAGAGCTGTGTCCTGAAAGTTTTCGTACCCTCGTATGGCAACCGCACAACCACAACCCCCAACCATAAAAATTTCAAAAAAAATGTAAAGAATTCAATTAAAGAAAACATGATATTATTGCTAGTAGACAATAATAAAACATTATTACCATTTTGTATGGCCTCCATTTGCATCCAGTACAGCTTGCATTCTCTCAGGCATTTTATCTATCCATCCATCCAACTTCTCTTGGGGAATTAAGTCCCACTCTTCCTTTGCTGCCTCAAACAATTCAGCTGCACTATGAGGCCTTCTTTCCAGTCTGGAGAATTGCTTGGTAAGGGCTCTTTTGAGTAGTACTCATGTGTTCTCAATAGGATTGAGATCTGGT